TGACATTTTATATATTTTGTTATGTGTGTGTTTGAGAAGTGGCTAAGAAAGCTTCTTTAATAAGGAGGCATTATGTGCTCTAGAGCCCACGAGCTACGACTACTGAAGCCCACGCGCCTAGAGTCCGTGCTCCGCAACAAGAGAAGCCACCGCAATGAGAAGCCCGCACACCACAACGAAGAGTAGACCCCGCTCACCGCAACTAGAGAAAGCCCGCGAGCAGCAAGGAAAACCCAAAGCAGCCCAAAATAAAATAAATAAATAAGTTTATTTTACAAAATTATATGTACTTTGTTTCCTACCAATTCAGAGTGTACATTTTTGTATGACTATAAAACATGGAGAAATTGATGGTGTATTTATCTGACCACAAAGAAAACTTTTGAAAACTTTTTGAAAGGTAGACTACTCATAGAACACACAAAATTAAAAGTAAATAAAAACTAATGACTAAAAACATCTTAACCAAAAAAAAATCTTAACATTTTGGAAGTTAAGGAACACTCTCATAAATAACCTCTGAATCAGAGAGAAATTTTAAACTGAAATTACATACTATCTAGAAAGCATGGAAACGAGAATACTTCACATTTAACACTTTATATTAAACCAACTGAGTTTATATTCAGGGAACAATGCATAGACTCAAATTCCTTCATGTTTGAAGAAATTTGAAAATGAAGTAATTTAGACTCACTGTTAAAAAAAAAAATGAGGCATTAGAGTAAAGACCTTAAGAAACAGAGGCAACTGATCACTGTTAATCTATTAATTGTCAAACTGAAAGCGCTATTTTGAGTCGTCACCTTACTGGACCTTTCTACATCATGAGGCTCTGCTGATCAATCCCTTCTGCCTTTAAAGTCCTTTCTCTCTTGGCTTCAATGGTATTTCTCTCTCCTAAGCCCAAGTTTTTCATATTTCACAACTAAGAAGAGTTTGACCTAGTTAGTACTTAGATCTCCAGGAATACCAGGTGCTATAGGCTTTTTCTAGCATATTCATTACTCAGTAAATATTTGTTCTCCCCGAATTCCCTTTCTTGACAATTTTAAACCTTTTTAAAGACTGTTCTCCACTCCAACTTCCTTTCTTGCTCAACCCTAAAGCATCAGTCCCTCACAAGTTTTTTTCTTTGTTTTGTTAAATGTATCTTTCCTGGGCAAACACATCCACTTGCTGTCACTTATATGCTGATGACTACTAAACTAAAAACTCCAGATAGATATTTACAAGTAGCTATAAAACTTTTCCACCAGATATGCCCCAAGTACCTTACAAACACAACACTTCTAAAGCCAAAATCATTACCTCATCTTCCAAACTTGTCTTTCTCTTGGTTAAAGATCTTAATGTTAACTCTAATTCCAAGCTAGAAAGCTGCTTTAGCTTTGATTCCCTTTCCCTCTCACTTCGAGCAGTTCTATTTCATGTTTCCATCTCAGAAATATCTTCTAAATCTATACCCCTTTTAATTTCTGCTACTTTTGCCTTACTTCAAATCCTTATCACATATATGTATTTCCAGCCTCTCCCTTCCCCAATCTGTCCTGCTGCCATAATTATCTAGTGAGATTGCCCACAGTCCCTTCCAAGCCTGCTACGTTTTACCTATACTGAACCACTCTCAAGGTCCAAACACATGTCCTGTGATTTTATCCATCCAACAAACAAGTACAGGAGGGGGCCTCCTATGTACTAGGCGGCTTGCCAAATGCTTTATACATGTTTTCATCATTAAATTCTTAATATAGTTCAGGTAGATTGGTATTTAGTAGCTCCATTTTTTATAGCTGAGGAAACTGAGGTTCAGATTAACCAAATCACAGAGCTAAAAACAAAACAAAGAATCCAAACACAGACCTGTCCAATACGTTGACTATTAAAATAACCTAGCATCAGATTCAGCACACACACAAAAAATGAATCTAGATAAATTAACAAAGCTGAAGAATTATTCAGTTAAACCATTGCTTAGATTAGGGAAAAACAAAACAAAAAACCCTAATGGGACAGCATGGCTGTCTTCAACTACATCAAGAGCTACATTAGAAAAGAGCAATCAGACTTCTAATCAAGTTTTAGAGGGCAGTACACTAAGATCTACTAATTTTAGCAGTCCAAAAGAGGAATAGGCAGCTTGATCTCTGTCATATTTGTTAATAACTGCTTATCAAGATATTATGAAAGGAATGAAAATAATATGGATAAAATCTGCTTAGGGTTTTTCATCTCTCCATTTTACAGATGAAAAGCTTATGAGAGACTGAACTCTCCCAAATCTAGAAATACTTCTATTGCCTTTAGACATACCTATAGGGCACGAGCTTTAGGTGAAAAGGAATTAAAGGCTTTACTCTAATTGCACACAATGCAGAAGTGCTCAGATACAGAGTATACAAAATCATGAGCAACAATTTAATATTTGATTTTGAAATACAGTGCTCAACCTAACAGCTCAACTCCTGACAATCCAGGAAATATAAAAGTCCCAGAAAGACCAAAAATGATGTAAGCGATATATGATCTACATGCAAGTTATTTTAAAAATAAAGAGTATGATAATCTTCAATAAAATTTTTCAGGGGTCCGTATATTTTCTGGTTTTACAATCAAGATTAGTCTGCTAACTGGCTTCAACTAAAAACATGGGTCTAATGCCAAGCAGTATAATATTTGTTCAGTTACTATGATATATATTAAGCAAACTCTTAAAGATTTTCTACTGTAATATAATGTTCATTAGACACCTTCAAAGTGCTAGGTTTTAATTTCCAATAGGGAAGAACTATCTTAACTATCACTGTACCAATGTATCACTGTTTATTAAACGAAGGCATAGATGAATGAATGAATGAATGGTAACCTTGAGACTCAAAGTTCATCTTTATAAAGTATGACCTAACAAGGACTAATTTTAAAAAAGGAGTAAAAGAAAGGCACTAACTTCAACAAAAGACTCTTAGAGCTTTTATTTTATTAAAATAAAAAATTTTATTTCATTACTATTTGAAGTTACCAATATTCAACTGTTTGGGCCTACAAGAATAATTTCATATATTTTAACCTAATTCATTACAATTAAACACATCATAGTTAATGACAGCAACTTATTTTGTTTAAAAAAAAATGAGTAAAGAACAAGTACCGTTTAACATGAAACATCACAAGCTGGCCCCCTAAAACACGCCCGCGATAACATACCATATTACACCAGAATTCATGTTTTCCTCCACCCATGTAATTGAGTATTATAATAGGTTTTCATTATATTTTAAAAGCATCCTTGGTAAGATTTCAATAGTAATGTCTTAGCACTGCTAAAATATGAGATTCCCTAAAACGTAGGCTCCATGAGAACAGGGCTTTGAATTTTTATTTTTTTCTGCATCCCCAGAGCCTCTCATAGATAAAGTCATTTATCTAATAAGAAATATTTACTGAATACCTACTTTGTGTCAGACACTGTTTTAGATGCTTAGAATACATAAATGAAAAATCAGATGAAGATCTTTGCCTCAATTATAAATGTTGAATAAAATAATAGAAATCTGCAGAAAAACAACTATTCTAAAGCACTTTATGTATATTATGATAATTTCATGAGAATTCCAGGACCCATGATCCTACCCACTATGCTATAATACCACGTTTGAAAATTTATTTTAAAAAAATAAAATAAAAGCTGCCTCCAGGAGTTCTCTAAACAAAAGTATCTTGAGTAAGGAATACTTTCATTACAATTCCTATTTCATGGAAACTTGAGTGATCTGCCTAAAATTAAACAAGCAAAGAACAAGAACTTCATTTGTCGTAGTATACTGCAGCAGCTCACAAGTGGAAAAATCATCAGAATTCTTGATTATCTATCATCCTCAAGGTGTTTACTATGACAGCTTCGCCTAGGAGCAAAAGCATGAAATACTATCACACTCATTATTGCATTTGTTTTTCGGTGACCCTAGGTCACTGTAGACAGTCATCAGTTATTACTTTTCCTTTCATAACACAACCTGAAACAATTTACTCTCTAGCGTGCAACAATACACAGGACTCAGTGCCTCTCTTTATTAATTCCACCTGAATCTATGTAAATTAAGAGGGGGAAAAAAATCAAGGCTAAATCAAGACAATAGGATCTGGCAATTCTGCAGGCTTATTCTTCATCAGAAGGATTGACCACAATTTGAAAAGGAATTTTGACACCGTTGTTGCTAATGCTAGCTGGGTTTTCTTCCCCCCTTTGTTGTTTTTAAGCGAATGCTGTATTACACAAGATAAAATGGGTAAAGAGAATAGAGAAGTGAAAGAATTGGGAACAAAGCAAAATGTGGAGTCGTGGTTACAGCACAAAGATAAACCTAAAGATAACGAATCAATGCTGGCTCTTCCTTACAGAGTCCTCGTGAATAAACCCTTAAATCCTGCGGTTAATCTATTGTCCCGGCTCTAAAGCTGATCAGTGACACTTCCTTGGGAGATGCTCTTGGCATCGCTCCCACAGAAGATGCTGTAGAAATGGAAAAACGGTTACCTAGGGAAACCAAGGAAGTGGCCAAGAAAAGTATCAGAAGCTCGAGGTTGGAGACACACCACGGGCCTCCAGCAAAGGCTGGCGGTGGGGAGGCGGTAGACATTAACGGAGAGTCCACTTTGCAAGGAAAATAAAATCTGGCCGGAGGCTGTGATTACCAACAGGACCCTCAGGGAGTCAGGCAAGACCAGAAAATGGTAGGAAGGGATTTGCAGGCGTTTACCAGCATCAGGCCCGGGGTGGGGAAGCGTCAGGTGAAGACTGTTTGAGGAGGGGCAGCCTGAGGATCATTAACTCGACCGCGCTGGGGCTGCAGGGCGCCCGCCTGCTCCCCGGGCCTCCGAGGAGCGGCGGGGTCCATCTCTCCGGACCTGCCCTGGCCTCCCCGGTACCGAGGTCCAGGGCAGCCCCTCCTGCCAGCCACCCCACCCCCAGACGCCCGGCCCGCATCCCTTCACCTCCTCACCTTCCAGTGACTCCATGGCGCCACCGCCTCGAGCTCCGCCAGAGTCCTCCAACTGCACCACGCCGCCGCCGCCGCCGCCGCCGCCGCGCAGCTCGGGCTGTAGCAACCCGGCCGCGCCTCCCACCCGCTAATATTCCGAGCGCCTATTGGTCCGGAGCTGAAGGGGCGGAGCTACTGAGGGGCGGAGCCTCGGGGTGGAGTTTCTCCCGCTGCCGCTGCACAGCTGGCTCTCGGCGCTAGGCTTTCGCGGTAGTCCTCCGAGTAATCCTAGAGCGGTTCGGTTTGCCTCCTGCCGTCCCACGGCGCCTTTGTTCGATTCCAGCCTTGTTTTCTTCACGCCTTATCCTCCTGTTTAGAATATCTCAGCACCTTAGGGTTCCCGTCCGCAGTCCCCTCAGTCAGTGCAGTTCTGAATTCCCGTCTGTCCCTCTCTGAGGACTTGAAGCAAACAAGCAGAGCCCACGTCCTACACACTACTGAGCAGCACCCTCTCTGTTACCCGCTATTGTCACACTTTATCTGAGTGTATTCCCTAGACTTTATCTTTACACACAGATTTATGAGTTAAGGGACCTTCTTCCTGCAGAAACCATACTTTCTAACTGGGATTGTAGAACTGAGATTCCTCTCATTACTTAGAAACAATTTCCTCAGCATGAAAGCTTGGGCCAAAAAGAGGTGAAACCCAGCCCTCCCTTCATCTTCAGCTACTCTTGGCCTCCCCTGGCCCCAGATTTGATCATTCTTGAACTAAAATAGAATGCAGGTCTCCCAGCTGATGAGGTAACATCAAAACTATGCTTGATCAGGAAGTTTAAGGCAGGAACGAACCTATACATGACAGAACGAAGCCTGTTTCTGTGAAAACCTCTTGGGAATGAAGGTAACTTCAAAACTAGCTAAAACCTCTGCTTAACAGTCTAACACATTTCACCAGAACTAAATGTCTTTGGAAATTTGATTTAGCAGTGATAAGCAAGCCATATCGTCAGGTAACTCCAGTATACCTCTCGGCAAGTTATCAGTATTAATGTAATTTCCATAACAAATCTTATATTAATTTTCTTATTAATCTGTTCAGTTACAAAGTTTTGGCATCATATCTAACTTTGTCTACCGTTAGAAGTATGTATCTTACGAACCAGTAGCCTTTATGAAGCGAGAGTTCTGCTTTCCACTCCAATGATGGCATTATCAACAAGTAAACAAGCACTTGAGGGCAGCACCACCTCTTATTGGGAAGATGATCTAAGTATATTTGAATGTGGTGCAGTCCATCTCTTATATGGAATCATGAGACAGCCCTGTCTCAACTCCTCCCCTACCCCTGGTTCTGCCCTGGCTCTTTTGTTCCTCTGAGATCTGAGATCCTAGACCTAATGGGCCAGCCCACAGCCTTTCCTGCCACTTAGTCATCCTGGACTGAGTATGGAAAGGTCCTTTCTCCTTGGTGCTGCTAAGGCTGAAGTGAGAATCATGGGGGCATTGAAGTGCTTTAAAAGAGCACTGAGAAGTAAAAAAGCACACTTGGAAGAAAAACCAAAAATAAACAATTTACTTTACAAATCACAAATTCTTGAAGTCAAGCCAAAAAATGGAGTTGGCTGATACACACCCTATTGGGCATAAATGCTCTAGTAACAGCAAAAACAATAATAAGGATAATAGTAACAATTAAAAAAAATCATATTAGGCATGTTTTAGGTCCTTTTCATATATTCATTTATTTATTCTTCAAAACAGCTCTACCAAGTAGATACTATAATTTTCTTTTTTTTTTTTTTTTTTTTGCGGTATGCAGGCCTCTCACTGCTGTGGCCTCTCCTGTTACAGAGCACAGGCTCCGGACGCGCAGGCTCAGCGGCCATGGCTCACGGTCCTAGCCGCTCCGCGGCATGTGGGATCTTCCCAGACCGGGGCACGAACCTGTGTCCCCTTGCATCGGCAGGCGGACTCTCAACCACTGTGCCACCAGGGAAGCCCTATAACTTTCATTTTTGAGAATTAAAGTCTTCGATTTCTAGATGTCTCAGAGAGATTAATTTTTTTGCTAATATTTTATACTCTTAGTGAATGGTAGCTTGGATTTAAACTCTAGTCTGTCTGAATACCTGTGACAATTTCATGGGACTCCTCACTTCCCTTCCTCCTCACATTGCTTTCTAATTATCTTAAATGTAAATCCAAATATTCAGATTCATTGTTTAAGGTGTATTTGTGTAGGCATTACTCCTGTGAACCTTAATTCTTTAAAATGTGCCTGTCAATCTCTACAGGTAATGGTCTCTCAACACTTTTATGCTCCAGCTACCCTGGCTTCTTCAGCTTTTCCTGGTCCTGATACCTGGGTGAAGAGGACAATTTCTTACTGCCTTCCTAAGTTCCTTCCTCTATCTCTTACATGCCTGGCCTGAGAGTCTCTTTGGTCTTGATGCTTTCCTCTGGCTTTTCTTCCTCTTGATCTATTCCATTTTTCTGATGCATTCATTCAACAAATATTTGTTGAGTACCTACTATGTTTCAGGCGCATTTCATTACTATCCAGTTACTAACATGAATGAAGCTCAGTTTCTTCTCTATGTTCCTAAGCTTTTATCTGTTCATAATTTTCTTTTGCTCTCCAGTGATCTTTTAAGCTAATGGTAACATTCATAGAGGAATATGAATTAGAGATCTTCCCACCTCCCTATCATACAAAAAAGAAAGGAAAGGTTCAGAGATGTTTGCTGACTCGATCCAGATTACAAAACTACTAAGTAGCTGAAACAGATATTGCATGCTTGTCTGATTACATCATATCCCTGATTCTTTACACTTTGCAATACTTTCCCTTCAACCACCATTCCCTGGAGCCCATCCACATCTCATTTGCACCCTCCAAAGGGCTGAGCAAGCTGCTTATATCTTCTTGTTTCAAAGCTCCAACCTCCTGTTGGATCTTACACAAAGATCAATTTCCCTTTCAGAGACATCCTTTGGCCCTCATTCAAATCATTTTCAGAACACAGCTAAATGAGATTCTGAATCTCAGTGAAAAACCAACTCATTTTCTAAACCCACTCTGTAAGGTTTTTTTTTCCCTCCACAGTCTCCAGGGGACTGACCCACCACAATTTAATATATAAAAATTTATTTATACATTTGGCAATCATAACAAAAATTATAGTTTTCATCAAAATCAAAAGAGACATATTTTCCTTAAAAATGGGGAGAAGGGGCCGAACAAGTGTTCTAGACTGAGGAACCATATTCTGAGTTAGGTCTTATTAGTTTTATTTTGTAGATTGAAGCAAAACAAAATCTTTAAGTGTTCAAGGACAAAATAATGATAGTCCTGAACAAGGAAACACTAAAAAAAGGAAAAAGAGAGGATCCTAAAGTAAGCTTTATTGCCTTCATTGATTGGAGGGTTACTCCGTTCACAGTGTGGTAGTGATTATTCTACCTCTTTCTCCTCTAGTTCCAGAAAGAACTCCAATTCCTTAAGGAGCCTCTATTCTCCTCCACTTTCAAAACTAATTCCCAGCTGCAAAATGATGAATTTTTTAAACCTTCAGTTATGATCCCATCTATCTGTCTCTTGCCACCACAATTCCAAATCTCAGATGAAAATCTATTAGTTCAAATACTTATTGAGATACTCCTACATATGTAACACTGTTCTAGGCACAACAAGGAGCTCCAAAGTAGTGTCTTTGGTCTCTAGGAAGTTAACATCTAGTAAAGGAAGCCTGGGCAAGACATAATACAGAACAATAGAGGACAATATATGCAATGGATTAGTAAGTCTTAGATGTTGTGGTACAGCTTATAAGAGTAATTGGTTTTAAGTAAATATTCATTTAGAGATTCACCTATGCTGCTGTATATAACACTAGTTTATTGCTTCCGAATGCTGAAAAGTATTTTACCATATGTTACACCACAGTTTATTTTCTCATTCCTGCAGTGAAGGGCACCCAGCTGCCTCTAACCGGCTGCTACAATGAACATCTTTGTGACTGTCCCCTTATGAACCTGGGCTCAAGTTCCTCTGGGATGCATCCCTGGAATGGATTACTGGGCCATATTCATTTCCAGTAAGTATGCCCAGACTGTTCTCTGCAATGTCTGTACCAGCGTACACTGCCATCAGCAGCGTGTAAGACTGCCCATCTTCCTATATCTCATTAACACCTGGCTTAGCTCTAATTTTTGCCAGTCTGCTGGGAATCACGAGTTGGGAATCTCTTCATAAACTTGCTGATTCAGATTTGACTTTCAATGAATTGCCTAGTTTTATCCATATTTTATATTGTGATCTCATCTTTTTGTTATGGATTTTTAAATTCCTTGTATATTCTAGATATTAACTTCTTGCTGATTTTGATTAGTTTAAAAATCTTTTTCTAGTTTGTCAAATATCTGATAACTTTGTCTATGATCTCTGTCATTGAATAGAAATCCTTAACTTTAATTTTGTCAAGTCCATCAATATATTTTCTTTATGATTTTTTATTAAAGTTCTCTTCACCTCTAGATTATGAGGGTATTTGTTTACATGTTTTTCTGTTAGTGAAGCCAAACCAAATCCTAAGAAAATGGAGATAATTTAGATTCAAACTGGAGAGGACAACAAAAACATTTTTTTCTAGTGTCTTTTGTGTTATGGGGTAACTCTAAAAATTCAAATAAGAACCAATGCCCAGAATGTTTTGAGACGTTGTGAATTTCAGCTTTATCCAATTTTGCCTATTGTCGCCAGGAAAGCAAAATGTTTTTAGGTGCTCCTTTTCACACCTGGAGGAAGAAAAACAGAAAAAAAAAAAGTGAAAAATATTGAGTCCTTCCCCCTTGCTTTATTATTAATCATAGCAGCTTCTCACAGGCTTTAAAAGAGTTTCCCTTAAAATGCTGTATAGTATTGCAATTAAATATTATATAAATATTATATAACGTTGATGATGTCATCACCACTATAAATCCACTAAATGAACACCCTGGCACTTCTTTATGATTTTAAAAGCCTTATGGCTCTGTTTCTTTTTTTTTTTTTTTTTTTTTGGCTCTGTTTCTTCAAACAAGTATTAGGTACTATAGT